TACAACCTCAAAATGGCCAGGTATTTAAGTTTTAAACAAAATTAGTGAGCAATTTGCATGCTAAATATATAAGTTCACAGCACATTTTTAACTGCTGATTTATAAAAACTAGAAGATAAGAGTTTCTAATGGCAGCACTGACAGACACTTAACTCTCACACAGCTGTTATCATAAAACTCCATAATGTTGTTTATGTACCAAAGAAGAGAAGCTAGCTAAATACAAACAAGGATAGGTATGATCTCTACATTAAACATAACTGATTAAATCATGATGGAAAAATGAAATCTTAAATAAAACATTGTAAACTGTTGAGAGACTGAGGTTTACTTTTATAAAAAATACCTATATTTTATTGAAGAGCAATGGACAGAACAAATAGTTAGAATACACAAATCACTCTCATCCAAGCACAAAGCAATAAGGGGATGCACCAAATTGGAGGGTTATATAAGAAAGAACTATGAACAAGGCTCCCTCCAGGACTTTAAGAAAATACTAAAATATTGACTATTGTGGGCTATTATCTTTGTATGCTTCCTAAGGCTAGTAAGCTAGTGGACCTGACCTTGTTTCATCACTTACACTTTGGCAAAATGTGTGTAAAATATTCTGCATCCGCTTGTCATTCACTATATGTGGGTAGGAAATGACTACATAAGGTATAAGACAATGGAGAATCTGGCTCCATATATATGTTGCAAAAATCAATGCACAAAAGTTTGGCTGGGTAAAGAGTTTCAGCTTTAACTCTACACACCCCTTGCTTTTGTGGGGCTTAAACAGATCCTTACATTTTGATAATAGTTAAACATTTTATAGTTTCAATATATACACTTTCTGTAACATGACTGTCATTGGTTTAGTTCACTAGCTAAGTGATTTTTGCCACTCACAAATCAATTTAGTTTATGAGAATTTGTAACCTAATTCACACACTATCATAGCAAACAATCATTGTGCAGGTTGCATCCAATTATAATATCTGCAATTTAAAAAAACCCTCAGTTTTTTAACCTAAAATAAATAAGGAAGACTCTTAAGTGATACAAATAAATAATAATAATAATTAATTATTCTATTATCATAGCATCTAGAAGCCTCAGTCCTGGACAAGCACCCCATTGTGCTAGGCACTGTGCAAACACAAAACAAAAAGTCCCGGCCCAAAGAGCTTTACAAAATAGCTTGTGGTATGTCTAAAATACACTCTGTAAAGAAGTTGGTGGACATGCATAAAGAGAACAAGCTATAAACCTATGTTGAATTAATAAACAGAAAATGTAAGTCACAAAACTGTTGCCCCCTTTTTGACCCAAGCGACTAATCAAAGTTTGGCACCATGGCGATGTTCAGTTGGAAGTAGAATTAATAGAGTCTATTTTCTTTGCTGTAATCTTGTTTATTTAAAAAGAGTGTACAAAGTCCTGCTTCTCTAAACACAGGATGAACCAAGAACAAAAAGGAGCAGTTTCTTATATTACAGCCCCAAGCCTCTTTTGTCAACAGACCCTAAAGCTCTCTCTAGCTTTTGCCAGCATCACACCGTGCTTACAGGCTGCTACTTGGTTTTCTTTCTGTTTCCATCAGCCTCTCCCAGTTTCCATATTGCCTTTTTTTCCCCCACTCACACAGCAAAATCCCTCTACCCACTCAATCCAAATTCCAGTTGAAAGGTTGTAATTATCTTTTCCTAACAGTTATGTTAATGAAGGGTGTCTTCACACGCAATCTCAAAGGAGTTTGTGACCAAGCAGTTACCAGCATACTATAGTACTATACTGTACATTTCATAAATATGAAGTAGACAAAGTGACGGTCTGACTTGAAGTCCAGATCATCTATTCGCTCTCCATGTGCAAGAAAGACAGAGTAGCTTTAGGGATAACACTGTTTTTCTGATGCTAATAAAGTTCTTGTTCAGTGTTGGAAGAAAGTGTCTCTTCTCATTATTGTGATTCTTAATAATTTTCACATCATACCAGGAGCAGTGAGTCAGCAGACCATGCTAGTAAGCAATAGCCCAAACTGGCCTGTACAAAATGCTCAAATGCAGCAGCAATCCTCATTCTCCTAAAACTATGGCAGCATCTCTGACTGTTAGCCCCCTGAATCTGCAGAGCTGCAAAGAGCAGGAGTAAAGGACATCATCCCTACATCATCCTGACCTTGTGCAGAAAACCTCTCCACATTGTGAAACCATTCCTCAGTAGTATGGTTGGAAGAGACCAAGGAGTGTTTGTATTTAGTTTGGGTATGTATATCTCTGTACATATCTATCTCAAGTGAGATACACATACACACAAACACACAAGCTCAGCCTACACTTGAAAGTTATATTGGTGTAACAATGTCAGTTACTGATGTGAAAAAACACACCAAAGCAACGCAGCTATGTCACCATATCCCTCAGTGTAGACACTGCTATGCTGACAGAAGAGTGCTTCCATCGATATAGCTAACATCATTCAAGGAAGTGTTGTTCCTACACTGACAAAAAAAAACCCTTCTAAGGGTGTAGATTTTGTCTACACTGTCGGACTAGCCAACACAGCTATGCTAGTATAGCCTATTAGTGTAGACATTTCTGCGTGCAAGTCACGAGGGTTCCAAAGGATTACCTGAACAATTATCCTCAGATAATATCTACCAAAATGTCATACCTATGGACCAACAGTATATATGGAATGCTAATCACTGTATTATCTAAATTTTGAACATAGTATCATAGAATCATAGAATATCAGGGTTGGAAGGGACCCCAGAAGGTCATCTAGTCCAACCCCCTGCTCAAAGCAGGACCAATTCCCAGTTAAATCATCCCAGCCAGGGCTTTGTCAAGCCTGACCTTAAAAACCTCTAAGGAAGGAGATTCTACCACCTCCCTAGGTAACGCATTCCAGTGTTTCACCACCCTCTTAGTGAAAAAGTTTTTCCTAATATCCAATCTAAACCTCCCCCACTGCAACTTGAGACCATTACTCCTCGTTCTGTCATCTGCTACCATTGAGAACAGTCTAGAGCCATCCTCTTTGGAACCCCCTTTCAGGTAGTTGAAAGCAGCTATCAAATCCCCCCTCATTCTTCTCTTCTGCAGGCTAAACAATCCCAGCTCCCTCAGCCTCTCCTCATAACTCATGTGTTCCAGTCCCCTAATCATTTTTGTTGCCCTTCGCTGGACTCTCTCCAATTTATCCACATCCTTCTTGAAGTGTGGGGCCCAAAACTGGACACAGTACTCCAGATGAGGATGTAAGGATGTATAAGACAAACAAAAGTAGACTCTGTTCTTGGTTAGTCATTTGTACTTTGTTTTTGTTTTTTAATAAGGAGGCTAATTATGGAAGTGAAATATTAGAGGCAACACTATACTACGTACCTAGAGTTATCAGAGGCTTGCACAGATTTTGTCCCTAGAGCAATCCTGTGCCCCTTTAGGTTATAAAGAAGCTTCTGTATGTTGAATTTTATAAGACAGCAATACGACAACCTGACATTTATGCACAGCACTCTTCAACCACATGAGTTGCAGTACTTTGTTTCATATCAGTGAAATGAAAAGCATGAGTGACACTTACACTATGGCTATGGGTCACTGCCAGTCTTGCTCCAAAACACCATTAGCTTATGGCATGGCATATCACAGACAAAAGGCATGGTGTGTGACATGCATTGTGCTTCACTGACACACATGCCACAATCCATGTAGTGCTGCAACAGCCTTTGACATTATGTGGAAACAATTTATGCAGTGTGTGAAAGGAACGCAGGAAAAAAAAAAACTGTTGCCATTTTGACAGTCCCAGAAGCAGGAAGTTTTAAAAGACAATGCTGAATTAAATCTCAGTTCATTCACGCTTTTCATCTCTTGAAACATTAAAGCATTGGTCTGAGAAAAATAGGCAGTGATTTCCTCTACATAATATGAACAACACTAGAGCAAGATTATATCTGTCAGAGATGAAAATATTTGTCTCTCATTGTAATCCATCCCGGGGTTTACAGACCCAAAGTCCTCCAGGGAGTATGACAAATCTACATGATGTTTATGAAAGCTAGATTTTGCATTCTGATCTCTGGTTTAAATGACAGATAAAAATCACACATAGCCAAACAACTCTCTAGTGACTACACAGATTCAGATGCTGAAGAGACTTGGTTATTCAAGAAAAAAAGTCAGCATTAACTTATGCAAGAAAATATTCCTTCCAAATCCATCTTTTCCGAAAGAGAGAGATTTTAAAATGTAGTGGTTGGCACTATAGAAAAACCTTAGATAGATTAGAATGAGCAATATCTCACTGCGTTAGTTTTTAGTGATTTCACACTTTTGATCAAACAATGCCTCTTTTGGATAACAATATTTGTAAAACACTTTCAGATTGATAAGCAAAACATAATACACAATACATAATGCAGAAGCTACAGAAATCTCTTTAAATCTAGACATAAAGCCAATTATTGAAGACCCACAGGATGCATCTGATAGTATCACAGGGCCCTTAGAAATTATATATTGTACTTAAAATATAATCAACATTTTGCAGTAATCTAATAATTGAAAAAAGTACATCATGGTGACCTAAATCTACATTAAATAGTCTCCAGAAATATGTCCCTGTCTTTTTCCAAAGCTACTTTTCAGATAATTAAAACAAAATTAATAATTGCAATCAACTACAAAAAATTATTCTGTCTGCCGTTAGGGACATGATTGTGCTTTAAAGTCATAATTCTGCACTGGAGGTGATGAGAAGGTGCTGGACAGCAGTGGGAGCTCCAGCAAAATGCCTCCTGGTACTTACAGACAGTGCACACCACAGGAACAACTCTGCCACCTTTTCAACAAGTGCAATCTGTGATTCCCCACACTCAGCTAGCGCTATTGAGTGGGGCAGAGGAGAAAGGGCCACGTGCCATAGTCCCCTCCCATCTGAAGAGACTAGAAGCAGCACTGCTAGACAGGAGTAATACTATTATCAAGAAGCCATATTGCATCTGGCCCGTTAACAGAAACATGAAGATCAATGGCAGGTTTCAGAGTAACAGCCGTGTTAGTCTGTATTCGCAAAAAGAAAAGGAGTAGTTGTGGCATCTTAGAGACTAACCAATTTATTTGAGCATAAGCTTTCGTGAGCTACAGCTCACTTCATTGGATGCATTCAGTGGAAAATACAGAAGATGTTCTTATACATACAAACCATGAAAAAATGGGTGTTTCCCACTACAAAACGTTTTCTCTCCCCTCACCCCACTCTCCTGCTGGTAATAGCTTATCTAAAGTGATCACTCTCCTTACAATGTGTATGATACTCAAGTTGGGCCATTTCCAGCACAAATCCAGGGTTTAACAAGAACATCTGAGGAACGGGGGGGGGGGGGGGGGAAATGTGGGTAGGAAAAAACAAGGGGAAATAGGTTACCTTGCATAATAACTTAGCCACTTCCAGTCTCTATTCAAGCCTAAGTTAATTGTATCCAATTTGAAAATAAATTCTAATTCAATAGTCTCTCGCTGGAGTCTGGTTTTGAAGTTTTTCTGTTGTAATATCGCAACTTTCATGTCTGTAATCGCATGACCAGAGAGACTGAAGTGTTCTCCGACTGGTTTATGAATGTTATAATTCTTGACATCTTATTTGTGTCCATTTATTCTTTTATGTAGAGACTGTCCAGTTTGACCAGCGTACATGGCAGAGGGGCATTGCTGGCACGAGGGCATATATCACATTGGTGGATGTGCAGGTGAACGAGCCTCTGATAGTGTGGCTGATGTTATTAGGCCCTGTGATGGTGTCCCTTGAATAGATATGTGAGCACAGTTGGCAACGGGCTTTGTTGCAAGGATAGGTTCCTGGGTTAGTGGTTCTGTTGTGTGGTACATGGTTGCTGGGGAGTATTTGCTTCAAGTTGGGGGGCTGTCTGTAGGCAAGGACTGGCCTGTCTCCCAAGATTTGTGAGAGTGTTGGGTCCTCCTTCAGGATAGGTTGTAGATCCTTAATAATGCGTTTGAGAGGTTTTAGTTGGGGGCTGAAGGTGACTGCTAGTGGCGTTCTGTTATTTTCTTTGTTAGGCCTGTCCTGTAGTAGGTGACTTCTGGGAACTCTTCTGGCTCTATCAATCTGTTTCTTCACTTCCACAGGTGGGTATTGTAGTTGTAAGAATGCTTGATAGAGATCTTGTAGGTGTTTGTCTCTGTCTGAGGGGTTGGAGCAAATGCGGTTGTATTGCAGAGTTTGGCTGTAGACAATGGATTGTGTGGTGTGGTCAGGGTGAAAGCTGGAGGCATGTAGGTAGGAATAGTGGTCAGTAGGTTTCCGGTATAGGGTGGTGTTTATGTGACCATCGTTTATTAGCACTGTAGTGTCCAGGAAGTGAATCTCTTGTGTGGACTGGACCAGGCTGAGGTTGATGGTGGGATGGAAATTGTTGAAATCATGGTGGAATTCCTCAAGGGCTTCTTTTCCATGGGTCCAGATGATGAAGATGTCATCAATATAGCGCAAGTAGAGTAGGGGCGTTAGGGGACGAGAGCTGAGGAAGCGTTGTTCTAAGTCAGCCATAAAAATGTTGGCATACTGTGGGGCCATGAGGGTACCAATAGCAGTGCCGCTGATCTGAAGGTATACATTGTCCCCAAATGTAAAATAGTTATGGGTAAGGACAAAGTCAATGGGTGGCTGAGAAGTCTTCTGAGCACCCTAATCATTCTCATTTGCGCACATACACCAAGCCAGACAGTCGGATCCTAAATTTAGAGAGTTGTTATACTTTGAATGCAAAAGTGTGAAAAGGTACAAACATATATTTCAAACAATATGACACAGATGGTAATATGGTGTGAAATACCTGTAGAGTGACTATCCTGAGTTCATGATTTCCTATGACAAGACAAGAAATTATAAATGACAAATAAACCAGAGGTTTTCCTCCTTTGGGGAGGGGAGGGGTAGAAGAAGCAGGCAAATAGTACACAGATGCAGCCCAGCAACCCCATTTTGTCACTGATTATATAATCAAGATTATTACAATTCAATGGTTGATTCAATGGACTGTGTCACTCTGAAGAACTAAATATTTTGCAATCTCTTACTGCCATCTTATGCCATTCTTTGCCACTGCACAAGAGATCACATATGGTAGACTAACATATTTGTATATAAAATTGTTCTATTCTATAAGTTTTTACAACACAAGCAGTTGACTTCCTCACAACTCATTTTAGGGCCCTATCCTTTACAATGCTAAGCACTCCCTATCAAAATGCTGTGTGCTCTGAACTCCCACTGAAGTTGATGAGAATTGAGGACACAGCATCTCAGAGGATCATGCTGTAAGGACTACTTGAGAATAAACTACATTCGCTTGTCCCTTTCTAAACTATTTCTTCAGTTGCTCAATACTTTCCAAATATTGGGGGCAATTTGCATTTATACTAATTTGCACTGATTCTCATTTACTGCCCTGGCAGTGTAAAGAGGCTTTATTGTAAATGAAAACCTGGTCCAAACCTGCATTGGGCATGATGAGAAGTCACTGAGTTGCAGTGGGAGCGCCAGCCAAAACTCCTCTTGGGGCTCACAGGAAGTGCACACTATCGTAACAGCTCTGCCACCCTTTTAGCAAGTGCAACCTGCGATTGTTTTATAACAAAAAGTGATGAATATGTGAACAAATATGAATAGTAGATTATCCATACAATAAAACTACGTTGAGAGAATGCTAAATTAATCCAAAGTGAGGAAATGTAAAAGTTACAGTTCCATGTCCAATATTTACCATGACCCCTTGTGAAGATGCTTTGCAATATATTATTTTAAAGTGCAGCTCTGATTTGAAAGTTACCCTAAAAATGATGTCTTGGGGTTCCATGTTTGTCTCCTTTCAATGGTTCCATATAGAATTTGCTTAATTTACAAGTGAAAGGATGCTTTTTCCCCCCCTAATAGCAATCCCTGCAAACTCAACCTAAACTCAGAGCTAGCTGTATAGGGTTCTTTCCTTCTCATGCATCATCAACTGTAATAAAGGTTCCACAGGCCAAATTATTCCCCCAGAGATACATGTGCAAAACCACTGCATACAATAGATTTGCTCAGATATAACAGATTGGAATTTAATAATATCCTGTTGATGATGAACAAATAGGAATAGAATCCATTGCTGTCTCTTTCATCGATGTTGGTTTATATAAAAATTAAAGCAGAAATTGAAGTACAGCTCAGCTCCTCAATACAGCAAAATTAAATAATCTTTCCAATTAATTGAAGATTCTGCCCCTTCTTTGCTGTCATTGTTTTCAGGCAATCAAGTATTATGCACTATAAACTCAATTTTCTTCTTATGTGTTGACTTTGAGCACTCCCAACCATCTTAATCCCAAAGCACAATGCTGCAAGATGACTTTTGTATTGATTTTCGAATATGTGCTACAATAACTTCTTTTTAAACATACCTCAGTGATCATTCTAATCTAAATGATAGTGCAACCAAATGAGGGCTGCATACCAGGTATTTTACTTTGCTTTTCTTAGCACTAATACAACTGCTATATTTCATCTAATGCCATATTTTCAAGAGAACCAAAAAATGGAGTTGTAATATACCATTAGGATCTGAGAGCAGAAGTTTACCCTTCTGCTGCCAGTTTCTAGAGAAGTTAAAATATCTCAGAATATCTACATGAATATCACAAGAAAGTGCAGCCAAATTAAGGAGGAGGAGAAGGGGAAAGGTGATTTTATACCACTTCCCCACCTCTCTCCACCTATCCTGGGACAGGTCATACCCTATTACCCCACTATGCTGGCTCTCTGCCACTACGTGATTCTCCAGTGCTGGGGAATTCCCTGATCACTTCCTTAAGCCTACTTGCAAGTGGAACAGAGCACAGGATCTGGCTTTGAAACTGTCATAAATATAAAGGGAAGGGTAAACCCCTTTGAAATCCCTCCTGGCCAGGGGAAAGCTCCTCTCACCTGTAAAGGGTTAAGAAGCTAAAGGTAACCTCGCTGGCACCTGACCAAAATGACCAATGAGGAGACAAGATACTTTCAAAAGCTGGGAGGAGGGAGAGAAACAAAGGGTCTGTGTGTCTGTCTATAGTCTGTCTTTGTCGGGGATAGACCAGGAATGGAGTCTTAGAACTTTTAGTAAGTAATCTAGCTAGGTATGTGTTAGATTATGATTTCTTTAAATGGCTGAGAAAAGAATTGTGCTGAATAGAATAACTATTTCTGTCTGTGTATCTTTTTTGTAACTTAAGGTTTTGCCTAGAGGGGTTCTCTATGTTTTTGAATCTAATTACCCTGTAAGATATCTACCATCCTGATTTTACAGGGGGGATTTCTTTATTTCTATTTACTTCTATTTTTTATTAAAAGTCTTCTTGTAAAAAACTGAATGTTTTTTCATTGTTCTCAGATCCAAGGGTTTGGGTCTGTGGTCACCTATGCAAATTGGTGAGGCTTTTTATCCAACATTTCCCAGGAAAGGGGGGGGTGCAAGTGTTGGGAGGATTGTTCATTGTTCTTAAGATCCAAGGGTCTGGGTCTGTAGTCACCTAGGCAAATTGGTGAGGCTTTTTACCAAACCTTGTCCAGGAAGTGGGGTGCAAGGTTTTGGGAAGTATTTTGGGGGGGAAAGACGCGTCCAAACAGCTCTTCCCCAGTAACCAGTATTAGTTTGGTGGTGGTAGCGGCCAATCCAAGGACGACGGGTGGAATATTTTGTACCCTGGGGAAGTTTTGACCTAAGCTGGTAAAGATAAGCTTAGGAGGTTTTTCATGCAGGTCCCCTCATCTGTACCCTAGAGTTCAGAGTGGGGGAGGAACCTTGACAGAAACTTTCCCCAAACTCCCCAAATTGAAATAAACAGAAACATTTGATTTGTCTTGCAATTCTCTACTTTCTCTATATTTGAGCCACTTCCAGTAGGTCTATTTTTTTCCAAAAGGAGAAAATAATTAAAAAGAAGAGGTCTGATTCACCTTTCAGATGTAGAACAAGACTTCTGACATCAAAGGAGATTAGAATCAGGCCCAAGGATGTAAAAAATTACAAAGTTTAAAAATTAGCAAATCCTAAGGTCCTCAAAATGATATTACTGTTAAGCATGAATGACTGAAAACAAAAAAGGTAAAGTTTCTGTGAATTAAGAGGCCAGCCTATGTAACTTCTTATCCTACATCTCAAGTTTCCAGGTTACCACAAGTGCAGGGGGAGCTAGAAGCAGTGTAGGACAGTTATAATAATAAATAATAAAAACAATAAAAGGCAATAAAGTTTTATTTTGTTTTTGTTTTTTAATAAAATGTGGTTTCAAGTTCTATGCATAACTGTGCTGGGAAACAGGATGATTCAGAGGATTGGTTCAAACTCAGATGAGGTCAATAGTCACTGAATGTTGTTAGCGTCTGAGGTCAGTACAGTCATCTACAAAATGGTGATCTACATAGAATCATTTGGTGGTCTAATTTCAGTTTTTAGGGAACAGGTGTCCATGGTACATAAATAAATAACTAAATACAGGCATCATTGTGAGACAGTGTGCTATTTCTTTATATCTGTATCAAAAAGCCAAACAACAGGGAGCGTGAGGGAGGTTTTTAGTTAGGATGACCTGACAGCAAGTGTGAAAAATCAGGGCAGAAGATGGTGGGCGCGGATATGGGGGGGGTTAATAGGTGCCTATATAAGACAAAGCCCCAAATATCGGGACTGTCCCTATAAAATCAGGACATCCGGTCACCCTATTTTCAGTAGAAATTCTACAGAGAGCTAGAAGAAGAGACAAACTAGTGTTTGGGATAATACTATTTTCCATATTCTAATAAAATTTCTGGTTTAGAAGAAAACTCTTTCCACTGTATTTAACATGGGCTTTAAACTGACCTTGGCAAAGTATCTGACTCCCAGGGCTATTGACCAGTATACTGGACAGCTCCATGTTAGTGATACAGCTCATACGCTTAAAGTTTCTTCATAAATCATTTTACCTCTGAATCAATTTTACTTAACAGTATTGCAGATCCACAATCCAAGCATGTTCACAAATGCTCTTTTTAGATACAGATTTCAGGAAATAGGCAATACTCGCTTGAGCTACCCCACGATTCCTTTGCTTGACAGAAATGCTTCTGCTATTCTTTTTTCTTATATTTCCTGGGCAATTATTCCATTGTCCAGGCAACTCTTACCTGTTGTTTTCTTTCTGGTTACACCTGTGCATTTCTACCTTGGAAACTCAGTCCTTTTTAAAGGCTTTGTTTAAAATATAGGTTCCCAGTGGAAATTTTTCCTTGGCCACTTTTTTGCACCATGCTTCACTGCTTTTTTGGTGGAGGACGTATTTTCACTAGCTCATATTGCCATCCCAGTTGCAGTGCCTTTTTCAGAATTAGCTCAGATATTAACCATATTACTGAAAGTTCCTTCTTTAAAATCTCAACTGCTAAATGATCATTGTGTTCTTCCTTATTGTTTCAAGTCACATTGCTCTGCTCATTCATTTAGACCCTTTTTAAAGGTTTCCACACTTTCTCTAGGCCTTTGTAGCAGCACCCACCTTCCCTAAAGCAAACTCAGGTGGCCACAGCAGGATCATCCATTAGGGTGACCAGACAGCAACTGTGAAAAAATTGGAACAGGAGATGGGGGGAGGTAGAGCAAGGGGGGGAGAAAATAGGCACCTATATAAGAAAAAGGCCTGAATATGGGGATTGTTCCTATAAAATCGGGACATCTGATCACCTTAACCGCAGTTTAGATTGGCCCCTGGGAGGCATAGGATCCCCTCACAGCAGCTGCACGAGACATAATCAAGAAGCAAAGAGGAAGACCGGGGAAAGAGGGGACATCGCCAGAGCATCCCAGTGATCTGTGGCTGCTGTAATCGTCACTTGTGTCTGTTGGCAACTATACTAATTTATGCCAGAGGACTGTCCCAGTATAGTACAACCCCAGAATCTGGGGAACACTCACCTTGCAGTATCACTGCCATTCCAGAACTGTGCAGAGTACTCGTTGGCTGCAGCCAAGGATTTGGAGCAATGTCCCTTCCAAAGTGCTTACAACTGAAGAAGAAAAGTACAAATGGCAGTTAGGTATTTAACTCCCATTGATTTTCAATAGAAGTAGGGCACTTCGCTGCCAATTGTGCCTTTGAAAATTTCCCGTAAAATGACAACATAGAAATACAGGAAGGGGAAACAGTGTACAACAAAAAGCAGTATGATCAGAGTGTGAGGTTTTAACACACATCTTTCTGTTCCATGATTTTTGTATGATTTTTTTTTAAAAAATGTACATATTTTAGCTTGTTAACACTTCTTGGAACGAAGGACTAAGGTTTCTAGGCCTTTGGGGAGAAATGCATTGTTTTAAAGAAGGACTTGAAGGAGGAGGCACTGGTAGCATTCCAGACTTGGTCAGGTGTGGGTTCCAAGTAGAAGGGCCAGTCGAAGAAAGAAGAAGTCTGGCGATGAGGATGGAAAGAACGGAAAGAAGTGGTTAGTCAACCAGGTTAAACAGAGTGAAGTGGGCAAGGAGGACAATGGAAAGAGATTAGAGGTTTACAGGAGCCAGATTACACAGTGCCTTCCAGAGGAGGACAAAGAGCACAAATTTGAACTAAGAACTTGAATTTTAATCTGGGTCAATGTGCGGCAATGTTGATGAGGTTTGTCAAAAATACAGAGGAAAAAAATGCAGAATTCTCCTTGGATTTACCAAGGAATTGATAGGGAAAAAAACCCAGAAAACGACCCTATAATCATGTGAAGCTACGCTGCTGTCTTTTTTCTATGCTTATCTGTCCTTTCTACTTTGTTTATGGATAGAAAGAATGTGAACTGTGTGTAACCTGCACTCCCTGCTTTTGGGAAGAGAATTCCTTATACAGATAAGCCTCCATGCTCGTACCTACCCCAGAACTTCAAACAGACTGGGTTAACCGGTTCGAACTGGAAGAGATATCACAATGTATGTTGAACCAAGCTATAAAAGCTCATCCCTGTTCTTTGTTCGGGGCTTCACCATTTTCCTCTGAAAAGGAATTGGTGAGTCCTTCAGCTGTCGTATTTGCTAGCAATAAAGTGCCTCACTTTATCAAAGAGCCAAGACTCTGTGTTTTGTTTGGCTAATACAGAAGTCCAGGGAAGGCTACCCTCCTAACCCTAGACGGGAGGGGAACCCTTTTTCCCTAACAGAATTGTAGACATATTATTTAAGTGTGGGCAAAAATCATGGCACAAGAGTTAAGGAGACATTTATATGACAGTTTCACTTCTTTTTCCATATTCTTTTACTATTGTCATTGTGTCATTTACTGTTTCTAATGTAATAATATTTCTAATTTTCCTTCCCCTGAGCACATTTATAACCACGTGCAGTATCTTTCTGACAGTTAACCAGTTTGTCTCTGCCATTTCAGCTTTTTTCTCTTCAGAACCGTTACTTGTCACTTCTTATCTAACTTCTGAATTATCACTACTTCTTGCAACTATTCTTACATCTCATGTTTCTACCACCTATGGCTTTGGTATCTTCCAACATGAATAAATTTAAGAAAAAAAAAGTCTGTTTTAAGCTGAGTGGCCACCTTAACACTGGTTTCAGAGGAACAGCCGTGTTAGTCTGTATTCGCAAAAAGAAAAGGAGTACTTGTGGCACCTTAGAGACTAACCAATTTATTTGAGCATGAGCTTTCGTGAGCCACAGCTCACTTCATCAGATGTGTACCGTGGAAACTGCAGCAGACTTTATATACACACAGAGAATATGAAACAATACCTCCTCCCACCCCACCTTAACACTGTTTAGTATATGTATTACTTGGAGATCAATAGATATTGTTACCAAAATCTTCAGCGGATCATTGTGTTAAAAAAAGGGGTGGGGCAGGGTAAACCAAAGCTACAGCTTTGGTGTACACCATTATAAAAAAATTAGGAGCCAGATCCTTGGAAGAGGTGGGGAAGAAATGGTATAGCTCCCTTGGTATTAATCAGCATAGTTCCATTAAACTACCTGAGGATCTGGTCCTAGGATGGCGTATCCTAGAAAGGAGAAAACTAAAAGGAAGATTTGATTAAAATAATCAAAATAATGAGTGGTGCAAGTGAAAAATGATCACTTTCCTTCTCCCGACTCATTATACGATAAAAAGGTGTCATTTACGTTGATGGCTGGTATATTTAGAAATAATAAAAGGAAATCTTCAAACAGTATATAATCAATCTGTGGAATTCTGTGCTGCAGAAGGTTATTGATTCAAATAAAGTAAGTGGCCAGGTAATTTTATGACCATTAATATTTATAGCTCTGCATGCTCAACAGTAATCTTATGCTTCAGGACATAAAATGACTTGCAGGGATCAAGAAGAAATATTTTCCTCCATGTCCAGGTACTGTGAGGCAGAGTAACAAAGAATAGCATAGGGGAAAGGAAATTTTGAATTCAAACTGGAACAGGAACAGAGATTGGTTACTATGATGATCAAGAGACTGGAGAGCCCATTTTACAAGACAAGATTAAAAAGACCTTGGCTTGATTTTACTAGCGTAACAAAGGTTGAGAGGGGATAAAATGCTTCTCTATAAATACATCAGGGAGTAAACACCAGAGAGGGAGAAGAGCCATTTAAGCTAAAAGAGAATGTTGGCACAAGAAGAAATAGGTATGGACTGGCCACGAACACATTTAAATTAGAAATTAGGTGGTTCCTTACCCTCACAGCACTATGGTTCTGGAACAAAACCCAGGAGTAGAGGACACAACCTAATTAATCTTGTCCCCATGGGCATGGACCTCATTCCACTACCCATTTAGCAAGGAAGGTGGGCTTTTCAGCAAACCCCCACCTGTGCTGGTCCCTTTGCTTTGTTCCCTCCTGAAGCTTCAGTGGTCACTCTGTCAAGCAGGTAGCAACCCTTTTTGACAAAACAGCACCAATATTCTGCCGCTATTACCTTTCTACTATTATTCATTGGGTAAGGCTCTATCAGTTCAGTCCGAATGACCTTAGGCTGCCCCTAATCTCTCCACCAAATTCTGCTACCTGCACACTCTAGGGCACCCACTTTTATCCAGTTCCTAGGTTTCAAGGTGTAACCCTCTTAATTTAGACATCCACCCTTACCCCGTTCCTAGGGCTCATGACATAACCTTCTGCAGGTTTGCAGGACCTTTTACCAGTGAAAGAGCCTTACATAGTGTGACAGGGTCAGGCCAGATGGCTACAAGAGAGTGGGTCCCTTTTCCCTGGGTAAGATAACAGGGACTACTCCAGAACACTCAGGAATTTTCTAGAGCTAATTAAGGCAGGCAGGCTAATTAGGACACCTGTAGTCAATTGGGAAGCTGCTAGAATTAATTAAGGCTAATCAGGACACCTAGTTTAAAAAGGCTGTCACTCCAGTTAATGAGGTGTGCGCGTAAGGAACTGGGAGTGAGAGGACGTGCTGCTGGAGGACTGAGGAGGTGAAGGTCTCTGAGCTGGTCCCCGACCCACATGGTGGATCAGCAGAAACTGTGGGGATTGTTCTTACTCTTTTTTCCCCATGCTGGCCAGTGATGAGGTTATCTGAGTGAACGGCAGATTTGAGCCATGAAAGTGGCCAAACTGAGGGCTGCCGTGAATCTCTGAGGCGAGCAAAATCCACCAATAAGCGCAGGACCCACCAAGATAGAGGAGGAACTTTGTCACAACAGTAACATCCACCACGCAGAATACACACACTAAGCATACAATGCTATGCTCACCAATCCTAATCACGTAGGCGGACTTTCCTTGTTGGCCAGGCAAGGTCAGTCTCATCTGGTTTCTTCATGTCATGGTCATGCATAGGATTCTAGCAGCTCTGTTCTCAGACAGTGTCTTGATGGGGAGGAGTTCTTCTTCTTCCAGGTCTTTTCTTCTTATGCTTCTTTTTCCTTCCCAGCTGGTCTCTTTCTTGGATCTCAGTTTATATAGTGAAACTTGAGTCCTGCTTAGCTATACCGTAACCAATCATTTAACTAAAATTTTACAAAATAATTCTTTGACTAATCCTAACATATTGTGAAGCAATTCTTTACCCAATCATACCCCACCACCTGTTGATTTAAATCTTTTAAAATTAATTATGCAACAGACAAACAATCAAAGAACCAGACAGAAACCATACAGATAAACAGAGAAGTGGTGACCATAAAAGAAAAACAGTAATGAAGTAGAGATTTCACACCCACAACTGTAGGTAAGTCATTCCTTGCCAGGCAGAATGCTGCCAAACAAAGTTTTCTTTCAACATTTTAAGATCTGTTTCTTTATCTGGTGATGGTGGGTACTATTAGGACAGGATCTCCTTCTTAGCAGCCCAATATTACATTATCTTCATGAAATTTAGATGGAACGAGGGGATGAGACTTTCTGCTTTTTGGCTCCTGCTCTCCCAATATGGCTGCAGAAAAAGGCCTCAGACCTTACACTTTGGTCTTTTGCAAAAACAGAGCCTGGAACAATAACAAATTGTCAACTAAAGTGAAAATTTGTATTTATGAGACATGTGTTTTATCCACTCTTCTATATGGCTCAGAAACAAGGATGACTTACGTCAAACATACCAAAAGACTAAACAGTTTTCATATCAGATGCTTATGTAAAATTCTTCAAATAAGATGGCAAGACAGGGTGACGTGGAAATGTTAAACTGTGCTGGTATGCCATTCATGGGAACACTGATTAGTAAAAAAAGGCTCAGGTGGCTTGGAAATGTCAAGCGAATGCTAGATTACAGGATCCTGAAGAGTGTGCTGTACTTTGAAGCTTCTGAAGGGTATAGAAATAGAAGCAGACCACTGCACAGATTTCAGGATGCTTGCAAAAATTATTTAGTATCCTTTGGAATCTCTGTAGATGATTGGGAAAGGAGTTCAGAATGTTGCTCTGATGGACAGAATCAGCTTGTAGATGGAGCGAGATGTTGCAAGGCAGATTGGATCAAGCTTTATGATGACCAGCATCAGAGGGAAAGAATCTGCTGCTCAGATTCAGAGCAATGCTAGTGTATGGGTGTACCCTACCTGTGGACGGACTCAGCAGCCATCAAAGAACTTATCAATGCATACTCCATATTCTGTAAAGAGCAACAATGCCACTGTTGTTCTGAGTATATGAAAATGTACGGGCAATTAATGTTGCGTTTTTAAATAAATAGAAGTTTACATTTGTACTCATTGACCATCATTATCAGCTATTGAGAAAATAAAAAATTACAGGGTTGAGAAGTATTTTATTTACTTAATCCATAAAGCTCAGCCTGACATTTTAATAGCATCAAATTGAAATGTGGCACTTAAGATCTTATACAGATGTAATTTTTAAAAGAAAGATGCTTACAGCAGTTTAGTCATATTTTAATGAATACCATCAAGTCCTGGAGACCGACTGCATTTTAAAGTTATGTTTATTTTAACTCCTCTTTTGAAACCTTGATTTCTGACTATCTCAAATTTAACACCTGCAAAGTGTCATTCATGGGTATCTCCCCACTGATGATGTGGTGAAGACAACTACAAAAAACATCATTTAGTTTTTCTGCAGTGAGACCATGAACTTGAAGTATTTCAGTAAAAGATACTATAGAAGGCATAGATTTAAGTCTTTTCCATAATCTTAATTTAATCTCTCTCTTATGCTACTCCTGGGGGAATTCTGCAACAAAAAAATTAAAAATTCCACACCAAAAAATTAAAAATTCTGCATACAATATTTTAAAAAACTGCAAAATTCTGCATTGTTTTGTCAAAGTAATGTAATTTAATCCAGCAAGTTTCAATTATTTTGGTAATTTATTTAAACTACAATACAATGGATGGAGAATGGGAGTGGAGAGCATTGGAGGAAATCACCAAACCCTCTCCGTCTAATAGTAATGCAGCTAGTATTGACCCTTTCTGTCTAGTTATTGTCAACAAATATATGCAGCAATATGCTCAGTGTTATATCATAGGCAACTGAAAAGTAAGTGAGGGCTATGGACTCAAACTCACAATTTATACTGGCTACTGACCATCTTCAAAAAGTGAGTAGCAAACAGTTAATGGAGGAAAATTTTGATAGGAAATTTTTGCAGTCCAAAAATGTACATCAGTTATAATCACTAAAGCACGATAAGCATTTATAAGGCCATACTGTCCTAACAATAAGGCTTTACCCCACTCTGGCAACATAAAGGAATCTTAACATTTTTATACCTATTTTGTACTCCTGTGGGAATTCACTAAGAACAATGGAAACAATTCACTAAGGAGGCGGGCTGCTACATTCTGCTTTGCCTGAGGGAACAGAGCCTGCCCCACACCTACCTCTTCAGAAATACCCCAAATACCCCAAAGATAAGGATATCTGATCTTACATTTGGTAATAATCTATGAGTTACCTGGACTAACCTTGGTGAAAGAATAGCTTTTTAGGGTGATTATGGGGCAGGAAAAGTTATAGAGCAAACAGTTTGGATCCCAAAGCCAATGACCCTCACCTTCCACCCTAGACGAGCTTCCAATGTACACAGACACACACACTTGTTGCTTTAATAGAGCCAATTTCACAAAGCTGAAATGAGCCAAATGAGCTGGGAGGAAGAATTTAATCAGAAAAATGTGAATGCTAATTGGGAATTGTTAAAGAAAGACCTTACTAAATACACAAAAGTCACAGCTGAGGAAGATTGCTGTACAGGTTAAAAAAAAAAACCCTACCCAGACAACTGGTTTAGAGGGGAAATTTAAAAAAATTAAAGTGGAAAGAACAAATGGAAGAAAGGGGAATAATATAAGGGGAAAGCTGATAATAATGAATATAAATCAGTAGTTAGGAGTTGTAGAAAACAGATAGGGGAAGCCAAGGGACACAAGAAGAAATCTATGGCCAGCAGAGTTAACAATGAGTTTTTTTAAAAATATGTTAGGAACAAAAAGAATATTGACAATGGTATTGGTCCATTGCTAGATGGAAACAGTAGAATCAATAATAATGCAGGAAAGGCAGAGGTGCTCAAAAATATTTATGTTCTGTATTTGGGGATAAAACAGATGTTGCAGTCTCATCACATGATGGTGATAACACTCTTTCCATTCCACTTGTCTCTGGAGGATGTGAAACAGAAACTACTAAATTTAGCCATTTTTAAAATCAGTAGGTCCAGGTAATTTGCATTCAGGAAGTTTGGATAAGCTGGCCGAGGAGCACACTGGACAATTAATGTTAATTTTCAATAAGTCATGGAGCATTGGCTTTCAGAAGACTGAAAGCTAATGTTGGGCCAATTTTAAAAAAAACCAAACAGGATGACCTCGGAGATTATAGGCCTGTCAGCCTGACATTGATCCTGGGCAAGATAATGGAGCAGCTGATACAGGACTCAATTAGTAATGAATTAAAGGAGGATAATGTAATTAAAGCAAATCAACATAGGTTTATAGAAAATAGATCTGTCAAACTAACTTAGTATTTTTTTTGATGAGATTAGAAGTTTGATTGATAGAAGTAATAGCATTGACATCATATACTTAGACTTCTCTAAGGTGTTTGACTTGGTGCTGCACATTTTGATTAAAAATAGTATAATATAAAATTAACATGACACACATTAAATTGATTAAAAATGGGCTGATAGGACTCAAAATGTAATTGAAAAGGGGAATCAGCATAAAGCATGTGTTTTTCCATTGGGATACCTCAGGAATCAGTTCTTGATCCTACACTATTTAACATCTTTATTAATAAACTAGAAGAAAATATAAAATCTTCGCTGACAAAGGTTGCCGTTGACTTGAAAATTGGGGGAATTATAAATAATGAAGAAGACAGATCACTGATTCAGAACGATCTGAATTGCTTGGTAAATTGGGAACAAGCAAACAACATGTTTTAATATGACTAAATATAAATATATACATCTGGGAACAAAGAATGTAGGCCATTCTTATAAGATGGGGGACTCTATCCTGGGAAACAGTGACTCTGAAAAAGATTTGGGGGTCATGGTAGATAATCTGATGAACCTGAGCACCCAATGTGACACAGTGGTCAAAAGAGCTAACGTGATCCTGAAATGCATAAGCAGGGGGAATCTTGTGTAGGAGCAGAGAGGTTATTTTACTTCTTTATTTGGCACTGGTGTGAACACTGCTAGACTCCTGTGTGAGCTGAAACCCAAAAAAGTGTCCTACAAAAAATGGAAACTAGGTCATATTACAAAGCTTGAATATAAACGAATAAAGTATATACGGACAAAATTAGAAAGGCCAAGGCACAAAACGAGATTAAACTAGCTAGAAACATAAAGGGTAACAAGAAAACATTCTACAAATACATTAGAAACAAAAGGAAGATGGAAGGACTGGGTAGGCCCGTTACTCAAGGAGGAGGGGAAAAACAACAACAGAAAATGTGGAAATGACAGAAGTGCTAAATGACTTTTTTGTTTCAGTTTTCACCAAAAAGGTTAGTAGCAACTGGAGTCTAACATAGTGAATGCGAGTGAAAGAGAGGTAGAATCGGAGGCTAAAACAGGCACAGACCAAGCTAAAAAGTACTTAGACAAGTTATATGTACTCAAGTCACCAGGGCCTGGTGAAATACATCCTAGAATACTTAAAGACCTGACTGAGGAGATATCTGAGCCATTAGCAATTATCTTTGAAAAGTCAGGGAAGATGGGAGAGATTCCAGAGGATTAGAAAACAGCAAATATAGTGCCAATCTATAAAAAAGGAAATAAGGAAAACCTGGGGGACTACAGACCAGTCAGCTTAACTTCAGTACCTGGAAAGAAAACAGAGCAAATAATTAAACAATCAATTTGTGAACACCTAGAAGATAATAAGGTGATAAGTAACAGTCAGCACTGATTTGTCAAGAACTGGTCATGTCAAACCAACCTAATAGTTTTCTTTGACAGAGTAACAAGCCTTGTGGATGGGGGGGGAAGTGATAGATGTTGTATATCTTGACTTTAGTAAGGCTTTTGATATGGCTCCCATGACCGACTCATAAACAAACTAGGGAAATACAAGCTAGTATAAGGAGGGTGCATAACTGGTTGGAAAACCCTTCCCAGAGCATAGTTATCAGTGGTTCACAGTCAAGTTGGAAGTGCATATTTTGTGGGGTCCCACTGGGATTAGTTTTGGGTCCAGTTCTGTTCAACTGCTTCATCAATGCTTTCGATAATGGCATAGAGAGTACACTTATAAAGTTTGCAGATGACACCAAGCTGTGAGGGGTAGAAAAGTGCTTCAGAGGATAGGATTAAAATTCAAAATGATTTGCACGAACTGGAGAAATGATCTGAAGTAAATAGGAAGAAATTCAATATGGACAAATGCAAAGTACACCACTTAGGAATGCACAATCAGCTGCACATATATAAAATGGGAATGACTACCTAGGAAGCAGTACTGCAGAAAGGGATCTGGGGGAGTTATTGTGGATCACAAGCTAAATATGAGTTCACAGTCTAACACTGTTACAAAAGAAGCAAACATCATGCTGGAATGTATTAGCAGGAGAGTTATAAGCAAGACACGAGAAGTAATTCTTCCGCTCTACTCTGTGCTGATTAGACCTCAACTGGAGTATTGTGTCCAATTCTGTGTGCCACATTTCAGGAAAGATGTGGACAAATTGGAAAAAGTCCAGAGAAGAGTAACAAAAATGATTAGAGATCTAGAAAACATGATCTATGAGGGAAGATTGAAAAAAAATGGGTTTGTTTAGTCTGCAAAAGAGAAGACAGAGGTGACATAACAGTTTCCAAGTACATAAAAGATTGTTACAAGATGGAGAGAGGTAAATTGCAACCAGGGTGGTTTAGGTTGGACATAAGGAAAAATCTCCTAACTGACAGGGTGGTTAAGCACTGGAATATGCCGCCCAGGGAGATTCCACAATCTCCATCACTGCAGATTTTTAAGGACAGGTTAGACAAACACCTATCTGTGGTGGGTAACCTGCAGCCCACGCCGCTTCCCACACCTCACATTGGCTGGAAACAGCGAATCACAACCACTGGGAGCTGCGGGTGGTGTGCCTGCGGATGCTCAACGTAAACTAACTGTCTTGCAGCCCACCAGTAGATTACCCTGACAGGCCACGTGCAGCCTGCAGGTTGCCCACCACTGGTCTAGATAAGACTTAGTCCTGCCATGAGCGCAGAAGACTGGACTAGATGACCTCCTGAGGTCCCTTCCAGATCCACAGTTCTATTATTCTAGTTCCAGTGTCCACAATTCAAAAATAATGTTGATAAATTGGAGAGACTTTGGAGAAAAGCCAGGAGAATGATTAAAGGAGTAGAAAACCAGCCTTATAGTAATTATATAAGAAAACCAGCCTTATAGCAGTTCTGCAGAAAAGGACCTAGGGGTGACAGTGGATGAGAAGCTGGATATGAGTCAGCAGTGTGCCCTTGTTGCCAAGAAGGCCAATGGCATTTTGGGATGTATAAGTAGGGGCATAGCGAGCAGATCGAGGGATGTGATCGTCCTCCTCTATTCGACATTGGTGAGGCCTCATCTGGAGTACTGTGTCCAGTTTTGGGCCCCACACTACAAGAAGGATGTGGATAAATTGGAGAGTCCAGTGAAGGGCAACAAAAATGATTAGGGGTCTGGAACACATGACTTATGAGGAGAGGCTGAGGGAACTGGGATTGTTCAGTCTGCAGAAGAGAAGAATGAGGGGGGATTTGATAGCTGCTTTCAACTACCTGAGAGGTGGTTCCAGAGAGGATGGTTCTAGACTATTCTCAGTGGTAGAAGAGGACAGGACAAGGAATAATGGTCTCAAGTTGCAGTGGGGGAGGTTTAGGTTGGATATTAGAAAAAACTTTTTCACTAGGAGGGTGGTGAAACACTGGAATGCGTTACCTAGGGAGGTGGTAGAATCTCCTTCCTTAGAAGTTTTTAAGGTCAGGCTTGACAAAGCCCTGGCTAGGATGATTTAATTGGGGATTGGTCCTGCTTTGAGCAGGGGGTTGGACTAGATGACCTCCTGAGATCCCTTCCAACCCTGATATTCTATGATTCTAATAGATTCAAGGAGCTCTACCTGTTTAAGTCACCCCTTAGCCTTCTCTTTGTTAAGTTAATTACAGTCTATAAGTACCTACATGGGGAACCAATATTTAATAATGGACTCTTACTAGCAGAGAAAGGTATAACGGGATCTCATGTCTGGAAGTTGAAGCGAGAAAAAAAAATCATACTGGAAATAAGGTGTAAATTTTTAATGGTGAGTCATTAACCATTGGAGCAACTTACCAAGGGTTGTGGTAGATTCTCCATCACTGACAATTTTTAAATCAAGACTGGATGTTTTTCTAAAAGATATGCTCTAGGAATTATTTTGAAGATGTTCCATAGCCTGTGCTAAATTGGGAAGTCAGATTAGATGATCACAATGATCCCTTATGGCATTAGAATCTATGAAACAGTGCAACTCCCTTCCAGGAGCAGCTATATGGGGCAGAAACTACCTCCACCCAAGGGGAGGGCTAAACCCCCTGGGAGAGATTAAGGATTCTTTGGCATTACACCTTGACAGAGTCTCCTCAAACAACATAATTGCTTATTTTTGTAGCAGGGATGAAATAATTGCTAGCAGAGAAGTACATAGAGGATCCTGGAGGAGATGCCAGGGGTTGCCAAGGATGGGTGAGTCTGTACGAAAAGGATGCAGTCCTGCTCCAGATCCACTGAAGGGCCCTCCATTGGCTCCTAGGCAAGAGTCTAGGTTACAGTTTGATCAGCTAAATTAAACTATACCCTGCATCTACATAAAGAAAGAGGTAAAGAGGAGATTGGGTTTAGCTAGCATATGTTAGTTAAACCCAACCTAAACCTGACCACTTTTCCTAGTCAAAACAAATCCCCGGAGATCTGACAGCACCAAAACAACATTACAGAATTGAGGCAAGTTGGCATGAAAGTTTCCTTGTTTCAGATCCCACCACCAGATTGTGTAATGTTTTCCCCCAGCACCAGAACACTCACACTTGCAGTCTGTTTCCAAAGGCTAGCACCACATCCTCTAGTGCTGAACAAATTTTGATAAGGTTGCGGTTAGGTCACACAAGCATCCAAAAAAATCAAACATCTACTGAGAGCTTATGCAAACTATCCAAACCTTCTGAATCTGTAAAAGGGGGCTGGTATAGGCACTCTCCTTCCTGAGGCCTGCAACCCCTCCACTTCTCAGTGGAAAAGCCATAAGGACAGGCTAGGCAATTGATTTGACACTTCAAGGGCCATTCATAGGTGTGAGCTAGAAGCTGAGAACTAACCTCCCCATGAGTTTTCTGTTTCAGAATTTACGAGAAAAAAATCTAGTCACCCTGCATTCCAAGGGCAGGGAAGTTGGGGCCGGAGGGCGCGGAATGAATCCCGACTAGCCCCATCCCTGTTCGGTTCCCTGGGGCCGGGCAAATCCCGGCTCCTAGCGGAGCCTCCGGGTACGCTGCGTGCGGGGGTGTTGAGGCAGAGGCAGCTTTCGCCTGGTGGCCGGGGCGCTTGGCGGTGGAGCGGCACCGTGGCCGGGAGCGGGACGGCTGCGAACACGCGCGGGCCTGTCATCCGGTGGGAGAGGCCTGCGGCGAGACCACAGGCCTGGGCGAGGCTGCGGCTCGGCCCCCTGCTCCGGAGCGGGCCACAAGCGCCTCGGTCCGTGTGATGGCGGAGCTCCACCCCGCGGAGGAACTTCCGAGTCGGCGGCAGGGGGTGTCTCCTAGCGGAGCCGGCCGAACTATCATGGCGGAGCGCGCCCGGGAGACTCCCGGAGAAGCTTCCGCCCCGGTCTGGGGCAGCGGGCAGTGAGTTCCGCCCCAGTAACGGACATGTGATCCTTCCCAGCATGCCCTGGGCGGGAGGGGGCCTTTCGGCCACCGTGGCGTTGGTTGCCATGGTGCCGTAACGGGTCTGCGGAATGTCGCTGGCCGCGCTGCCGCTATCTCCCGCGCGGGTGTTCGCGGAGCTTTTAGCCCCGCCGCTCGGGCGCCGCGGGCGGGAGAGCGAGCCGGTGCCGGGGCTCCCCGGCGGTCGCAGCACCCCAGTGCCGCCAGGGCGGGAGGTTCATGTGAGCGGCAGCGCAGAGCTGCGTGCGGCCCCGGACCGGGCGCGGGTCTCCATCCGGCTGGGGAGCAGGAAGGGGGAGGCCGGGGAGGCGCGGAGCAGCGTGGGCCGGCGGCTGGAGTACATCGCGCAGAGCGCTCGGCAGCGCGGGGTGCAGGTGAGAGCGGGTCGGCGGCACCCCCGCCTCCTACGGGAGCCCCGAGCTGTAAACTCCAACCCCCTCCCAGCCGCGCTCCCCACTTCCAGCCCCAAACCTTAAATCTCAGCCCCTCGGAGTGCCCCGCCCTAAACCCCACCGTCATTCCCCCCCCTCCGGAGTCTCCAGCCTTAAACCCGCCACTGGCCCCGCCCTCTAACCCTCAACCCCCATCCGAGAGAGTTCAGCTCTAATCCTCCTCCACCCCAAGCCCTAAACCCCACTGAGCGCCCATGCCAGCACCTACGGTTGCCAATTTAGTAATCGCACAAAACCCATTACCTTTGTCCTGCCCATCTCCGAGGCCCCGCCTCCCGCTCACTCCGTCCCCCCTTCCTCTGTCACTCGCTCTTCTCCCAGCCTCATTCACCTTCACCTGGCTGGGGCGGGGCTCCTGGAGGGGGTGAGGGCTGTGGCGGGTGGTGCGGGCTCTGGGGTGGGCCGGGGGAAGAGGAGTTCAGGGTGCGAGATGGGGCTCCGGGCTGAGGGGTTTGGAGTGCAGGAGGAGGTGTTGGGGTGTGGGCTCTGGCTCAGGGTATGGGCTCTGGGGTGGGGCTCAGGATGAGGGATTTGGGGGGGTTCAGGGCTGGGGGCAGTGGGTGGGGAATGGGAGGGGGTTTGGGGTGTGGGCTCTGTCTGGGCAGCACTTATCTCAGGCGACTCCTGGAAGCGGACAGCATGCCCAGCTCTTAGGCAGAGGGGCAAGGGCGCTCTGTGTGCTGTCCGCAGACGCTGCCCCCAGTCAATGGGAGCTGTGGAGCCAGCGCTCGGGGTGGGGCCAGTGCATGGAGTCCCAGTGGCCACCCCTGTGTCTAGGAGCCGTGCAGAGCCAGGGCAGGCAGGAAGCCGACCTTAGCCTCGCTGTGCCACTGACTCGACTTTTAGTAGATCAGTCAGCAGTGCTGAACGGAGCCACCAGGGTCCCATTTTGACCAGGCATTCCAGTTGAAAACTGGAAGCTGGGCAACACTACCTAAACCCCAACACCCTCCCCTCCCTCGGAGCTGAGCTCTAAACCCCACCACCTGTTCACTTCCCCTGGGGCACCCAGTTGATATCAGTGGTTGTATGATCTTTCCATTGACTTCATGTTCCTTTAATAAACTCTTTACAAAAGCAACAGCAATGACAACAAGCAGAGTTGGTGAGGGATTGCAAAAAAGTGCAGTGATTGGAGTATGTGTTACTGACCTGGAGGAGACCTACACATGCATTAAATGCCAAAATTGAGCTATAAGTCAGAGATTTGTCTATATTCAATCCAACAAGGGATCACTGATTTTATTGTCCCATTGTTCATTACAGTTAGAATAACAAAATGTTCTAAGAGCCCCATGAGGTGCAGCACTGTTTGTTCCACTGTAGGACATTTCACTGGCATTGTTGATGTGTGGAGAGTTGGGTGAGACATGTCTTCTTAAATTCTCAAACAAAAACTAAGACAGCACTTTGCTGCATTTAAAACATTTTATTTTTAATTCTTATTCATTTCTTCAAAGCTTTTTATTTTTGGCATTTTATTTCAAAATCAATAACACAAACTTACCCCAGACTGGAAGTGTGTATATAGGGGGTTATAGATATGAAGGGTAATTTTGACAGCTCTTTAATTTATAACTCCTTTTTTCTGGCTAGGACTTAGAAATCTCCTGTGAAGGAGCTTCTTTGCACAGTGGGCACTGCTTTGTGGAAGATTTAGAAGGAAATTTGCCTTTAAATGCAGGTCACAAACTTATGAAAATGCGCACATCCATGTCAAAGTTTTACTTGCCTACACTCATTTTCATGGTGTGGGTAATATTTTGCAAGGCTGCCTTAAGGATCTCTATCTAAGCCAATCCTGTCTTAATATCTGTGCTTTTCTTTCTCTCCTGTGAAGTAGTTGCTGCTTTCTTTGCTGAGTAGGAGGATTATGCAGCCTTCCTTTACATTCACCTCATTCTCATTGTGCACTAATAGATATTCTGCTGCATTGTGTTAGCTACACACTCTGTTGCTAATATGTTAAGAGTGGCACTAACACTTAGCTTGCTGGCCCCTGTCCAGTCTGCAGCACTCATTTGTTCCCTTGCAGCAACAGAGCATGCCTCTCCCTTCTTTCTTCTTCCCAAAACCCTGCCTATAGTTCTGACCCACTCACAAAACAAATGGGCTAAAACAGGGAGTTATACCTCTAAATTCTTTCAGAGAAGAGGTAGTGCTGTGATTAAAATTTTACAGAGGAATGATAACAATGATTGTGCTTTCTCTACAGGGAAAGTGAACTGGTAGTGGGAGTTGTACCTCTCTAGTGCAGACAGACCAGGGATCTTCCACCACAGGCTAGGACACATTAATCTGGTACTTTTCTCATTGATATTTATGTTAGCAAAATATAGCAGGAAGCAAAACATGAGACACTGCCACAAAATCACTTATATACATTCCCCAAAGAAGAACTCACTTTACCCCTAGATTGCTGGAAGGAATCTAGCCCAGGTGGGTGGCATCTAATAGCTGTTCTGTGACTTATGTATATTAAGTTGGTTATCAGTCAATTTTCTAGTGGTGAGAGATCCATGTCATAATCACAACTTGTTGCTATTCTCATCTGAGAAGCCAAAGACTGAAAATGAATGGAAGGGGAATTGTCTTTCTGCCCCTAGAAGCTGACTCTTCAAATTAGGGATGAGGCAGATGGTGACAGAGGAAGCTTGTGCTGCTGCCTGTGCTATTCAGTACTTATATGGATAAGTAGAAGATTGTAGGTTTCCAGCATTCAGCCGCCTGTGGCTTCTGTGTGTGAATATAGTGCTCACATCTGGGAAAAAAAAATGCTTCACACTTATTCACTCCAGCTAGATATTTCTAATCCTATTAAGATATATGCAGCTGGCACATGATTCATACGGACAGGACTCCAGTTTGTTCATAGTTCTGTTTCTCTTGCTATGGTGTGGCTACTTATATTAAAATCCATCTGGGGAATCTCCCCGCATTGACCCTCTCTATACACTGCTTACACAGAATGAATAGTCTTACCCAAAAATATTCAGTGAGTTACAACGTCTGTCAAAAGAAAAGGAGTACTTGTGGCACCTTAGAGACTGAAATTTATGTTCCTTACCAAGAAAGTTTTTCTATTGAAAATGCCTTTTACCTCCAAACTTTTGTGGGTTAATTATTAATCCAGGTAAGCTGCTTCAAGAGGTTACAGCCACACTGGTGGGCTTTTCTTCAAATATGGATGGCATTTTTGAGTAAGTACGGGGCTGGGCCATGAGGAAGCTTTGAAGTCACATTTTCACAAACCCAGTTGCAAAACAGTGTCTTATACATTATTTGGGAGGTGGCTGCAGCTTTAGCTCCAAAAGAATAAGCTGAAAGCAAACAATTTTATTTAAGGGCTTATAGTGTTTTCGGCAACTACACCATTATGAAATCTGCTGAAGTCTCAAAATCCAGTGGATGAACGCCTGGTGTGGTTTGGTTTTTTCATCCACAGGTTCTTTATTATGGGGAAGCCCTTGACTCCTGGTTTCATTCCTACACCAAAAATAACCACCATAGTAAATTGTCCAACCATCTAATATTTTATTGCTAGGTACAACTAAATAGTTCTTTTAAAAAATGTGGGAAGACCACGAAAAAATGACTCATGGAAGCCTAGCTTGTGGTGACCAAGTTGTGAATAACTGACTTCCAGCCTTGCCACTATGGTAATTCAAAATAGGACGACACAAAGTACTAGAACACCTCCATGAATGACATGGAAGATGGATGCAAATTAAAGTAAAATACTACTCAAATAGGAGGTGTTGCAAACACCAATGACGCCTGCAAAATTTTTTACAAAATGAAATCTGACCTGGACCAAGCTTAGCTATATATCTCGGGAAAACCAGTCTGAAATAAATTTAAAGAAATTGTGTCTGAGAAAGTAATGCTGATGTGAACTGCCACTGAGATCTGAACATTCAGTGTGATACACTTGTAAAAAATGCCAATACAGTTTTGGACTGCAAGTGTAGACACATCAGATCATAGAAAAGGGAGATGTTAATTCTCCCTGGAAAGTCCACCAAATACCACATTCAGTTCTGGGTACCTCAATACCAGTAAGGTAACAGGGTCAAGGCAACTTACAGAAGAGCAACCTGAAGTCCCATTGTTTTTTGTTGTTTGGTTTTTTTTCTTCCTGAAGCTATTTCCTATGGTATAAGTTGTATTGCATTATTTTACTCTGTTTCAAATCACTCCAACACTGGGACTTCTTCCATTTGCATTGTAGATTATTCTACCATCTAACAACTCTCACTACTAACAATTTGTACTTTGCTGATTTTTATCTCATTACTTCTAATTAATACCAAGCGAACAGAATGTTGAGAATCATCAAGAAAGGGATAGATAATAAAACAGAAAATATCATATTGCCTCTATATAAATCCATGGTATGCCCACACCTTGAATACTGCGTGCAGAGGTGGTCGCCCCATCTCAAAAAAGATATATTGGAATTGGAAAAGGTTCAGAAAAGGGCAACAAAAATGATTAGGGGTATAGAATGGCTGCCTTATGAGGAGAGATTAATAAGACTGGGACTTTTCAGGTTGGAAAAGAGGCGACTAAGGGGGGATATGATAGAGGTCTGTAAAATCATGAGTGGTATAGAGAAAGTAAATAAAGTGTTATTTATTCCTTCTCATAATACAAGAACAAGGGGCCACCAAACAAAATTAATAGGTAGCAGGTTTAAATCAAACACAAGAAAGTATTTTTTCATGCAATGCACTGTCAACCTCTGGAACTCCTTGCCAGAGGGTGTTGTGAAGGCTAATACTATAACAGGGTTCAAAAGGGAGCTAGATAGATTATGAAAGATAGGTCCATCAACAGCTATTAGCCAGGATGGGCAGGAATGGTGTCCCTAGCCTCTGTTTGCCAGAAGCTGGGATTGGATGACAGGGCATGGATCACTT